AGCGTCATGGTCGGATAAAGAGACCGTTTTAACCGAGAAGAAGAGCAAATTATCTGAAGCACCTGTGTGACGAGTGCCATCGATGTTTCCTCTTCAAATAAGAGGTGTCTGTGTCAGATATTGTCAAGAAATGTGCTGGAAAAATGATGGGAGTTGTTAAGAAATGGCCGGTCATTTTGCAAAACAAACTGCAGTTGGTTGCTTTAAATGCCAGTCTTAAGGTCTCGTTCTGTGTCTGGTTTTCTAACAACAAATTTTGAGTGAATTTGTTTTTGAGCGTGTTATTCCTTTAATTATGATTAAGATGTTTGGATAAGCTTATATCATACAAATCAGTAAAATACTTAGTCCTAAATTTAATATTTTATATCTTTTAATTTCATATAAAAGTTTTAGCCATATGGATGATACAGTTTTAACAAAGTGATTAGTTTTAAAAAACAAAATTAATAAATTAATATAATCCATATTTGTCAGTTACACATAAATGAACAGGTAATATTTCTCTAATAATACTAATAAACTGAATGTTTTAAAATGCACAACAGGTTTATATATCATCAATATCAATATCATCAATAAATCCAATATTTTAACCGTATTTTTAACTGAATAAATGTTTTCACAATGAATAGATTAGATTTATGATTATTATAAACTATTTGCATACATGCATATTTGAAATAAACATCAACTGAAATAAAGTTTTTTTTATATATTTTATTTTATTTCATTTCGTGTAGTTGCCATAGAAACACTTCTTATTTTTATTTAGGTTAACCTGATGTATTAAGATAATTAACACTAAAACATCAATAAAAATTAATAAAACCTATATAGGCAATAATAATGGCTTATAAAAATGACAAAAACATACAGAAAAATTAACAAAACTAATCCCCGTGCAAAAATCTTACCTGTTTCTGCTATGTATGACTGCCAAAACTGCATCACATTAAGTTTATTAGTTTATGTTAAATTGTGTAATCCAAATAGAATGAAATGTTACATGCAATTCAAATACATAAATCCTTGTGCATGCAGCGTGACTCAGTTGTTTGAAGTAAATATGTTTGTGTCTCTGCAGACATGTAGAGCTGTGAACAGCGTTGACCGGCGGCGTCTGGATAAACATGGAGCCTTGTGCCGAGTCTCAGGGAGATCCTGAGAGAGCTCAGGTGAGCGATCTCTCTCTCACACACACACACACACACACACACACACGTCCATGTGAATATAATGAGCCATTAGAGCTCACACAGACCTGAACCAGCCTTCACAATGACAAGAACAAAGCTAACGCTGCTGACACCAAACACACTTTAAACACCTTGCTCACACACTTTCTGTCCCATTAGCGACTTCAAAAGACAGAAACACACCTCAGCTGTCAGAGCCTGTGAATAATGAACAGTACAAAGCACTACTGCATGCTGCGATACTTCTCATTGTCACAAATTTAATACTATTAATAAAATGAAAGAAGATTAAGCCAGTTTTTTCGCATTGTGATGTCAGTTTTATGAGGTTTAAAACCTTTGTTTTAAGCACCTGTTTTTATTTACTGTTAAAAACGTATTGCGTAAAAAACTAATAATTATTGGGGAAAAAATATTGTTGTAATTATAGATAATAATTAAATGAAATATTAATGTATTTAAGATTATTTGTTTATGTAAATATATTAATTTAAATATTAATATTCATATATATAATGAGTAATATGTATATTTATTTAAATAATATAACTTATATTTAATATAATTTTAATTAAGAAATGATGGTACAATTTGTGGCACTCTCTTTAATATATGAAAATGAATTAAAAAATAGTAATTTAAAAACAAAAAATACTATTATAAGAATGTAATAATATAACACTAATATTAAAGGGGGGAAAATTAAACAGTTTATGAAACATAATTTTTGACATTACAGTAATCAGACATTGGGGTAAAATATGCTTAATTGTTATGAAAATAATGTCACAATGCAAAAAAAAAAAAAGTATCTCAATAATACAATAACAGTGCAGAAAAATACAAATGAAAATAGAAGCACATTAAATGTTGACTGTTGAACACTTGTGTTTGTATTGCATTTCTGGTTGTGTGAATCATTTCACACACAAGCCTCAGGTGTTACCCAGCATGCACCTGTGAGCCACGCTCTCTCTCTTTCATTAACCTAACTGTCTGTTGAGCAGGAGTTGTGTAGGTGTTGACAAGTATTTGCTTTATTCATGAGTCCTTGAAGTCGTTTGCAGGAACGAGAGCTGTGAGGGGTTTGTTTGTGTTAACTGCTCTGTTTATTTCAGTAAAATGCGGATCGTATTCCTCAGGCTCCAAATGCTTCACACGTGTCAGAAAACATCATGTATTCGCTATATGAAAGCTTTAGTGGCCACGCTGAGATCAGATCAGAAGGATGTCACTGTGCCAGGCAGTTTTGCTTTAGGTTCCCAGTAAGTGTGTTGTAATTGTACCATTGCACACCATTCATTCATAGAAGCATCTGCATCGGGTCATTAGCTAATTATAGCGTCTAATTAAGTGATCACTTCTTAATAAGTGCTTCAGTGGATCCTCCCACATCTGTACTAAGAATACACTGTGGGTTTTATTTACAAAGAAATGCACCATTCATAATTAATATTTATTATTATTAATAATAATAATAATAGTAATCACTGTTTTGCACAAAGAAAAAGAATAAAATGAATTTCATCACATTTCTCATTACTGTAATAAAATCTCTTTCTCATTACTGTAATATAGTAATGTAACTTTTCTGTCCAGATATATTGATGTATTTTTATTAAAATAATTTCTTTAGCATTTATTAAAATTTCGTACCACATAAACTACCATGATACATACTTTCAGTTGTACCTTTATATGTAATATAATATAATATAATAAATATAATATAATAATATATTCCAGTTTTGGGAGAAAATGTGCTTAACTGTCATAAATAATGTCACAGAAATGGTAAGGATCATAGTAATAGGCTTCATTTTTTAAATATTTTAGTATAAAATGTTTTAATATAATAATAATTATTAATATAATATAATATAATAATATATTCCAGTTTTGGGAGAAAATGTGCTTAACTGTCATAAATAATGGCACAAAAAATGGTAAGGATCGTAGTAATAGGATTCATTTTTTATATAATGAATGTTTATAATATAAATATAATATAAAATGTTTTAAAAT